ATGATTAAAATTTTATTTTTTATTTAAGAATAATATAATTTTTATTTTTTAAAAATAAAATAAGCGTGTGATTACATTTTTATATTATATTATATTACATAAAATTGATAATTGTAATAATAAAAAATATAAAAAGAAAAAATACAATTAATTATTTTTAAACATATATTTATTAGTCATTTAATGTCAAATAATAACTATTAATTATTATACAACTAAACAGTTAGATAAATCAAAATCCATCATCTATTAATTGCTAGTTGCTATGCACTAACGCTATCTATTAAAGTTTAATTACTGTACTAAACAAGTTTTTAAAAATTCTTACTTAACAAGTTATTAATATCTGTTTTTAATTTTGAGCTTTGTCAATTTTAAAATTTTTTATGAGTCATTTATCAATTTATATGGTATAATTTATATCAATTTTTACATCAATCATTAATTTTATGCACGTGCCCCTTGTAATATTCATGCCAATTTTAAATGAATTAGATATATTTAACTACTTTTGAATGGCATATAATTTAAAATATTAAATAAATAATATAAAAATATAGTTTATTTTCTTTATAAAGTTACATCTATCAAATTAATTTTAAATCTAAACATATTTACATAAATAAAATAGAAACCATTAGTTTAATAAAATATTAATTATACAAATAAAAATTATATATAACCAATAGAAAGACTTATATAAGTTATATTTAACATAACTAGATTTAGGGTATTTTTAATATTTGTTCTTATTTAGATAAAATTAGTGTCTTTATAAGAATTAGTTACAAATGATCTTTTTATTTAAGTCATAAATATTTTGTTTATATTTGAGTGGTCCTTATAATTCAAATTTCAAAAATAAATTTTATAAAAAAAAATAAAAATATTTATATCATATTTAACATTTTTTAAAAATTTAAGGAGCGGCTGCCCCCTCTTCCCTTTCTTAAATTACATTACAAAACAAATATCATATTTACAAATTAACTCTTGGCAAGTCAAAATTATACCGGCGGGCTGCATTTTGCTACCTCAACTGAGGCGGCAAATGCGTATGTATAATGGGTTTTGATTATAAAATTTTAAAGATTAATAACTTAAATAATTTAGTAATTATTATTTTTATTAAAAATAAAAAATTTAAATTTAAATCATATAATATATAAATAAAATAAAAAATAATTATTTCTCATTATATAATCAAAATTAAAAAAAAATCCCAACAAAATGTGTAGTAGGAACGTATTAGTAGACATTGACCGATGTTTTTTTAATTTTTAGTCAAACATAAAAGAGTGACCATGGTCAATGACATTACATCAGTACGTGCACACCACTCGAGAATTGGAGAATTTAGGCAGCAGCAAACAAAGAAAGTCCAATCACGCATTGTGCCCTTTCTTCCTTCAATTTCATCTTCATTGTGACACCAGGAAAATGCTCCGGTTGCTCTAGAATAGTAATAATTGTTTTTTATTTATTTGACGAAAGTGTGTGGAAAGTTAGCACATGAACTGAAAAGGTATTGTTATACAATAAATTTAATGCTCCTATCTGTGGGTAAGTGCCAGGCAACTGTCTCCATTTATGATAAGGTTTTTGACCAAATAAGTCTGCAAATATTGAATGGGTTAGCGTGCGGAAGCTTCTTTTGTCATCAGTCACAGCAATTCCTGGCCAGACAAGTGACGGTACTTGATTTCCTATTGTCCTGCGAATACCTTTTAAGTACCTTAAAATTTGGCTTTTGACAAACTAAGGAATTATTGATGATTTTAGGATCGGATTGAACCTTGCATTCAATGATATATCCTTAAAGTTTAAGTGTTTGGATTAAAGGTGATTGAAAATTTAACTTTTACTAATGACTTAAAAAATTATCCAATTCTCTATAATCACCCATGTTCAAAATATATATATATATATATAACTTCAAGATCAATAGTTGTCTTCTTTTTTTTCTTTTTTTTAATTAAAGTAAAATTTATTGAACAATAGCAAGTCATTTGACATATATAAAGAAGATAAAAAAATCTTAATTTATAGATAAAATCTTATAATTATACATACATAACACACTATAAAACACTAACAAAAATAAATCGAGTTTTCAAGTTGAATGATTCATTTTTAAACTTTAGTATTTTGGTTTAGTTAGTCGAAAATTTGATTTTTATCAATAATTTAAAAAAAAATTCTCTATTTTCCAAAATTTCCTATGATCAAAATAAAAATAAAAATAAAAATAAACAAAAATAGAAAGGAGGCTAACTTCTACATCATTACTTCAACACTAGAAAAAGATAGGGAAAGTACCGCACACAAACCGCTAAAGAAGGTATTACCATTCACATACTCCTTTGATCAAATGTTCCAGTTCAAATGTTAAACATCTTTCAATCTATTCTTGAGATATGCTAGTGTAATAGTATTCAGTAAGATCTCTGCAATACTGTGGCTTGAGCAAGCACCCGATAACTTAATACAAAGACACAGTTTTTGTGTTTCTTCTTCTTATTCCCCCATATATATGTCTCGCGAAACTAAACAAAAATAGCTTGGTCTAAGAATTTTAAACCTACATATTATTATAGTCCATTAGTAAAAGGATTATAATAATCGAATGTAATCGAATATATTTTGATATAATTAGTCATGTTGCCCGAAAGGAATTTATCCATGTTTTTTATTGGGAAGAATCCGAGGTATATATATAACTGGTTAACCCACTTTATAACTTGATATGCGCCTTTTATTTAGTTTGATTATGTTTAGTATAGTTGGTGAGAAGTTTCTTTTTGGATTTTTAAAGTTTCAAATGCACTAAATATTATAATTTGTCAAAAATATTATAACTTCTTACAAGTTAATTAATATTTTGTTTGTTTCACTGCAAATTTCATATGTATTGAATTGATGCTTCTATAGGAATTTTTCATTTAAATTTTAATAAAATTAACACATTATCTTTATATTTTTTTATTTACAAAAATAATATTTCTAAATAGTTTCTTCTCAATAAAATTTCTATTAAAATCTCTAATTACACTAAACAGGTAATTTGTTCCTTCGAACCTAAATTTTAGTTTGCTGTACCAAGTCGCATATTTTTCAAGGCACAACGTTCTTGGATTCTTCTTTTTGGGGAAGGCTAAGCAACACACTGTAGCTCCACTTTCACAAACAATATTGTGGTATAGATTCATAGGTTTTTCTTTTGTATTTTTGAAGGATTCTAGCTTGATGACAATGAAAGTGCATAAGCATGCTTCCATCCTTTGATGCCAAAAGCTATTATATTTATATGAACCCCTTATCATGAATTGCTTTTCTTTTTTAGGATCCCATGTCTCCTTTCTCTTTACTCGTTTCTTTCCTTGATTATAGTATCATATTGGCAAATGACAACTGACTTCAATGACTCCGGCCGGAAGCTCGCTACTTTCTAGTCAACAAGTCAATCTCCCAAGTCCCAAGACATGAAATTAATTATTTCTTTTATAAAATTTAATATTTTACCATTTAAACTTTATTTAATTATAAAATATTAATTATTAAATAAAAAAATCTTTCTTTATATATGTATTTTAACGAATTTGTTGTATAACAAAAGGTCATCTTTTTTATTTTTTATTTTATTTTACTTACATATCATATGAGTCGAACTCATAACTTTTTATTTTTAATAAAAAGAGATTATCATTGAATTATTTAAATAATTAATAAATATTTTTTTATATTA